TAAGGCCCGTTGTTCATTGCATATTGACCTATACAAAACAGTACAGTTCACCTATACAAAACAACACTGTTCATTACATGTTGCGTTGAAATAAACGAATATGTTCCTTTTTACTCTTACAAGCATTTATAGGTTCAAAGTACATGTAACCATGTTGTTTAAGAAATAAAATAAGTTATATTTTTGTTGCAGTTCCCATTGTCATATTGACATACAAACACGCTACTAACGGCAGCACTCACTTCTCATTGAGAACTCCTAGTTTTACTATGTAGAGATTTTTTCTTGAATGCGATTTCCTTGAACTGAAGGGGACAATTTTCTTAGGTGAGCTCGGATATATCAGTTGCTTGAACTATTTATTTTCTTCTGCATTCCGGCTTTCGGGTTTCCTCAAGCTTGCGTTTCACAGTCAGTCGGATCTTTTTCTTTCAGTTCTATGATTTGTTCCTGTCTGACGTATCTTGTACGGTTAATTCGGCTAAATTAATGAAGACATGGAGCACGAAGGAAATTTTTATAGTAGATTGCATAACAAGAACAGAAGTTTATGAAAATCAAAGTAGTGCACACCGAAGGCTGTGTGGCATTTAACACTATTTTCAGGTTTGCATTCGCGCACGTGACACTGGGGACCAGTTGGTTGTCATTGCAATTAAATGTTACATCCCGGGAACTGTAAATAATACGAGGATTTCAAGACGAGATTTGTTGTAATATCTGTGGATGTATGGTCATATAGCCCTAAAACTGCCTGGGTCGCTTTGTTGATCGCTGATGAATGCCACAATTCAATTCAATTACACTATCAGTCTAGGAAACGGAAAAGCGGCAAATGGCAGAGGAGAGTCTGTCGTGAAACTGCAAAGCTACTCCTCCGTAAAGGGTGTGAAGCTTGTACTAACCCCTACTTAGCGATCTTGGATTTTCGGAGCACACCAACATAAGGAATTGGATTTAAATGCACTTAATGAGCCGGAGAACAGAGACTCTGCTACCAGCAACGAACCACCTTCTTCAACCGCAAGTTTGCAAGCCACGAGCAAAGCTTATTGTACATCAGAATAAACAGAAGTGCGCACAACCCCTTGAATAAGGATGACATGGTGTGGATGAAACCACTCTGTCTTGGTGAGAACAAGTAGCGAAAATGCTGGTAAATCGAGAAACACAACAACCACTCGATAACCCCGTGAAGACACAAGATGGTGGAGTGTACTGTTGAACCATGTACAGTCGTAGACACCATCAATCCAGCAGGACAATGAACTGCTAGCTTCCTCCAAGGAATCCAAAGCCGTCGCAGGAAGCCAGCTGACGACACTGAAACACTTCCAGCGAGCAGTCCACCTGATAAGCAAGTTGACAAATCATATGAATCTGGTCTGTCAGACCACTCAGTCGCTGAACAACTCAACCCCTCACCAATGACCCTGATGCCTGCACGTGTTTGAAGACCACCAGAATGTTTAAGAGGCTATTTTTGTTAACGAACAATTAAGGCATGCCTGTTAAGCTCACAGTTATATATCTGACACTTGCTAATGCTTGTAACAATTTTTTTACAAAAAGTTATAATGTGCAGGACCTTTTTATAGCATAAAAAAGTCTCTGATATTAGATTTTGTATATCACGCTTAAACCAGACATGTAGAGCTGGGGCTGAAAATTGTATGTAGTGGCTGAGGAAAATCCCTGAACCCCAACCTGACATCAGCTTGAGGAAATAAATATGCCTTTACTGTATATCCCTGATCAAGTGACATACTGGTTTCTGCAAACCAAGTTTCACAAATTTACTTTCAATTATATAGTTTATAAATAAACAATAGTTAAGATCTGGATAGGTGCTATATAAATATACTATTATTACTATTACTATTATTATTATTAGTAATAGTAATTGGAACGAGTGGAGTACAATTCAGGGAGTAATTGCGCGAGTAATTTCAAAATTAAAAATGTCTTTTGAGAACATTTTTTTTGAGCAAAAACGTATGCAGCGCATTTCATAAGTTTTGAAAACTGTAGGAAACATTGCAAAGAAAGCTATTAGCGTGCATGCAATTGATGTGGGAATCTTGTGGGTGTCCAATTACAGGTGTCTAATTACAGAAAGTTCAAATTGGATACCTGTCATTGGACATCCATGTGATCATGCGCTGATTACGTGACAAATAGGCACATGGAGAACCACTCATGATTGAGAATTTTGTTATAGATATGATTATTATTATTATTACAGTTATCTTACACTGTATAATCAATTCAGATTACTAACTTGATATTTGAAACGCCTTTGTTCATTGAACACACTGTAGGTAATTCTCATCTGAGTACATTTGACATAATGGTGCAGCCAATATCTAAGAACTTTAACAAGAATGTCAATGTGCTCAGATATAGAGATGTTACAAGGAGAGGTAATCAAGTATTTACTCCTATCTATATGGAATTGGCAAAATTAAAGAAATCTCCAAGACAGTACAGGAAAGGTGTAGAGTTTACAACAGGCATGACAGACCATGATGTAAGAAGTAAACTGGAGGAAGAATTTCCTATTCTGAGAAATCAAAGGTATGCTTAATAGCAGTGCATTGGTTTTAGATTTAGTTTCAATTGGTCAATGCATGGTCAACAATAATAAAGCACAGATGATGCAAAGTTGTAACAAGGACAAAGAAGTACACCATTAGACTTTGTTAAGTGGTGTACTTTTTTGTTAATAAGAATCTGATCATTCAAGTACATGTACCAGTATTTCTTTGTTAAAAGAATCTGATCATTCAGGTACCAGTGTTTTTGTACATCCACAAAAAATATTGCAAAAACTGACGATGAGTTGCTTAAAAAATAATAAGCTGACTTACTGAGATTGTTTTCATTTTTGTCACCTCTTTCTTCTTCACCTCATCTTCTGTGTTTAATAATTGTTTACAATTAACAAAATTTATATAAATATTTGGACCTGGCAGTTCTAGCACAATCAAATCAGTTAGGTAATGCTTTATAGTCCTGCTGTTAAGAGCCAAAAATAACCAGAATCGTTCATTTTGTGATAAAAGCATGAAACTTCCCAGGATTACTAACCTCTATAAGGTAAACATTTTCTGATATGGAGCCATCCCAAATTTACACCCACAAACATGCTACATGCATGTCAATAAATGACATCTTAGGCCTTTCCATGATTAGTCACGTGACTGTCATTTCAATAAACAATAAAATAATACTGAATATTGCATTAATATGATTAATAATTTTTAATTCTCTTCTTCTTTCTCGTTTTTCCTCGCAAATAAAATGAAGTAATCATTTTAAACATTACATATACAGTCATCAGAGATTCAAACTCTGAAACTTGTGTTTCGGCATGCACAGTGTCAT